AGTTACCAAAAATGCTGCGCGAGAGTGAATCTTGAGCGCTGAATACTGAGGGCCGGGATATATTTTCTGCCTTTTTTCTCTTTCGGCCAAAAATGTCATTTTCGGCGGCCAAAATTTCGTTGCATCCCTAATAGCCACAGCAAACCATGGGAAGACTTAGTAACTAAGGGTGTAAATGTTTCAACAAATATATGAAGCTGTTCTGTAGGGAGTGAAGACCAATCAGTGCACACCAAGTTGCCCTTATTTGTGTATGAACCCTCAAGAGTCCTAAGCCAAAATTCAGTAGAGACGCTTCAGGCGGCTTCATTTCCTCTCTTCTCCTTTTCTCCCTCCCTCTCATCTCCTCACTATTGTGTTCTGTCATTTATCTATTTTATGGGATTATCGAGGCGCTTCTCCCCTGCCCGCAATTCATTACGCTCCTAACTGCTCACTTAGGTTTATGCCCCTTTAAATCCCCCAACAGATAACCAACCAGCCTCGGTAAACAGATAGAGAGAGAGGGAGGGAGAGAGAGAGAGAGAGAGAGAGAGAGAGAGAGAGAGAGAGAGAGAGAGAGAGAGAGAGAGAGAGAGAGAGAGAGAGAGAGAGAGAGAGAGAGAGAGAGAGAGAGAGAGAGAGAGAGAGAGAGAGAGAGAGAGAGAGAGAGAGAGAGACATGTGGTGGGCACTCATCAGAGAAGGAATTAAGAGGTGTCACGCAGCAGTGGCCATGGCAGTGAGGAGAGGCAGTTAGTGGTGGTTTTTAACGCGGCTGCCCTCTTTCTCCTCATTAGTAATTCAATTTGCTCTTTATTAGCCACTCTTATCTCCTGCACAGAGTCCCTCTGGCTAACCCCTCCATCACCCGCCCTGTCTTTCCCGCTCGCCCCTCTCTCTTCACATCCAACCAAAAATATACATCACCTGGCTGGATTGGAACAAGACAAAACTTCCTATTTCAAGACCTTGGTGGTAATAATATCAGAGAGACACAGGCAAGTTTACAGGTATGGAAAAGTAAGGCAGTGATACTGACACTAATGTGCGCAGAAACAGACCGCAAGCGAATACAGTGAGATTGTCGGTTTGCCTTCATTGGGATGGGGTGGAGGGGGTGGAGTTGGCTGTAAAAACAGTGATTGCTTTCCATCAGGTTGGGCTTATATTCTCCAGTTCGTTAAAACAATCCAATTTGCAAAGGGATAATTACGCATTAGCTCCTTTTTATCTACTGAGCGAGAGCGCTGGCAGGGTTTGATAGTGTAGCCGTATACGGCGAGCCACTGCTGCAAATTACCCGCTATCGGCACATGTACACCATCACGGCCCGATTGGGCAATTAATTAACTCCTCCTATCCCCAGCGGATACGGGCCATCACACCCAAACCTACTCCCTCTTTAACCAACCAGGCTGTTGAGATCATGCTGCCCTCTGTTGGTCAGACAATAGACTTAATTCATGATATTCCCCATTTAGGGGATTTCAGACAAAAGAAAAACCTCTGCAGAGACTAAATACGGTCACATGTGTTAAACAGCTATAAAGTCTGTTAAAAGCCAGAAATGTGCAGTTCAAAAGCTACCTGTGACCTACGCAATTTTCTTTGCAAAATTTCTCAAATACAGACTGCCCAAAATCTGAAGACTGGCTCTGTCTTTCGGCAACATGTCCAGAATGCAAATCAGGACAAAATCTGGGCAAAAGTTGAGTAGTGTATTTCAGCTTTAGAAAATTGCATAAGTAGTAAGAACAATAAAAGGGTAAGCAATGCCTGGTATATTCATTGGGATATATTAAACTAGCCTAATTAAAATTACAATGTTATAAAAGTGAGTTGACAATGCACAATTGATTTGAGCAGCTGTCGATGTGACAGGTGTGTTCATCAAACGTAAATATTTTAAATTTTATAAGTTGGCATTATCCCTTTTTCACTGGCGGGTACTCCAGGCAGATGCAATATCTTCCTCGGCACTTCAACTGTTTGGCCGCTGCAGCGGATCTGAATTTCAGGGTCTGATTAACACGGTAAGTTGAGCAAATTTAGCCGAATGACTGGTGATGTAAACTAAAGTCACGCAAAATCGCTTACTCCACTAGGGAGCTGAGGTTAGGTTTGCAAATTGTATAGCTAGCTATCCTGCACACATGGTAAGCTAAGATGGCTGCACAGTGTGGTCGATCGGCAGACAACAGCAGTGTTTAAAAACACATACAAGTTAAGTATGTAATAATTATTTGCACAAATGCCCTCAGTTATATTGTTAGATTGCACAGATTAAATTTCGGGATCATATGCGATCGAAACGGTCGCAATTTCGAGCCTTCAGGCAATAGTTGTGCGGGGAAATAAGGGAAAGTAAGATGTGGTGTTTTATGGACAACACTTTGTTTTGTGTGTTGTGTGTCTTTGACAGGACTCAGAGATTATGTTATTATACTTTTGCATTACTAAAGCAGATGCACAGATTAGACTGTAGAGATGTATGTTTAGTAGTCTGTCTGATTTTAGAGATTTGATCCACGTTATTTTAATGCTGCATAGTCAATTAATGACATATTTTTGGTCTAGATTTTTAAACTATTTCTAACCTATTACTTAAAGAAGTTACATTTACAACTGATTTTTTAACCTTATTTCTAACATCTAACATTTTCCCGGTCTTTAGATACCCAAGCACTTTTGTTACCTGGGGTCTTCGAGCTTCACATCCAGGTAAGACAAACTTCAGAATAGATTCAATTACAATTTGATCAGATTATACGTGTTCTGTAAGTCCAATAGACGTTCAGGGAACCTCCATACAAGGTTAAAAACTAGTTCAGATGTGGACATATTTTATGTAATTTAATGTCTCATTTAGACAATTTAAACTGTTTCTGGACCAAATAAACACTTTCAGGATGCATTAAATTAAAACTCATGTTTATTTCAACGTAATTTCTTTTGCAAAGCAACTCACAAACAGTGTGTGTTTGTCCAAAAATCATGAAATCATTACTGTCTACTTAGGGCAGGCAGCTTAAGGTCCCTGGTTCAAATCTGATTTCTCTCACGATCCAAATATGTATAAATTACAGATGCTAAACTGTCTAAAGGTGTCAGTGCGTGTTTGTCCAAAAATCATGAAAAGAAACTTCACTGTCTGTGAATTGCTTTGCAATTACACATGGAAATTACATTGAAATAAATGTGAGTTTTAATTTAATATATCCTGAGAGTGTTTATTTGGTCTAGAATAAGTATAAATTGTCCAAATGAGACCTTAAATGATGTTGAAAATTGTCCACATTGTCCACATCTGAACTAGTTTTCAACCTTGAAAGGAGCTTCCGTGAACGTTCATTACAGAACACCTAAAAAAAAGTCGTAAAAACTTTCATTCTGGCTCCTCAGTGGACGTCTTTTCAATGTACGTCTTTGTGACAAAGACATTGAAAAGATGTCTTTTGGACATAATTTTGCTTAGTGGGTTTATTAATATTGTGATGATATGGGGTGATTACGTTTGCTCTTGAAAGATATTTAAACTCTGTAGCTTAATTAACAGTAATGTGATGACCAATCAGGTACAGGCAAGGACAATTGGATTTGTTTTATTGTAATGAATGCTTTGAACCAGAAAAATACAACACTCATGCTAGAGTAGATCATGATATTTTAGTACCCAGACTCTATGGCATTGTCATGGTAGACTTCACTCTGGTCACATGTTCTAGTCACAGTATCCATCTTGTATCCACCACCTTTAGCAACAAAAGTACAATTTGGACTTTGTGTCTTATCTCTTCTACCTGTCTGCTAATATTCATCTCATTTCCTATTTGTCTGACCAAACTCTTGTTTCTTTTTTGTCTCCACCAATAGAGTCGGGCTGAAACAGAGGTGCACGCTGAGCTTGGCAGTTGCCCACTGAAAATTTACATGTGCCATCACCCCGACACGATTGGGATTATCATATAAGGACAGCCCGTGGTCAGAGGTGTGCCAAACCTGTCGAAAGCATGCTGCCTCCTGTTTGAACTTACCTATGCTCTCGACTTCAAGTATCCCTCAAAACTGCTGTTTACTTGAGATATATCGGAGGCTTTTTTTGGATTGGACCCTGTGCGTCCTAAACCATCATCATGTCATTTTTGACATTGCAGTTCCAGTGTGATACAATGTGATGTTATGGCTCACATTTATCTTGATCCAAACATTTCAGATTGGGCAGTTTGGATATTTCACTGTACTGTTCAGAACAGGTTGAAAATACACTTCTACAGTGTTTGTTTTATATTAGAGTGTACATGTGCGGCCACATTTCTTTGCTGTTTTGTAGTCACTGTTAAAAGTGACACTGGTTGACATTGAATAAATTATATATTGTTTTCAATCTATCTTCTCATCTTTTTCTTCTTCAATTGAATTTGTAATTGTTATTGACAATTAAAAAAATATATTCAAATGTTTATTCACATATGATTAAGTTAATTTTACTAAGAAAACAAAGTTCATAAAACCTAATTAAAATGAGTACAGGTTACTTGTAGCAACGCATAAATAAGTTACCTGTACCAATAAAAGTAGGTTTATCTAACTGAGTAATACTAGTACTATTAGTTAACTCAACTTGATTTTGTTGCGTTTGTAATAATTAATGTTAAAGTGTTCAATTTACTTAAAAAAGGCTGCAAGTTGAATCAACATAAAACATCCAATGCAGCCACTTGCCTCACTTTTTATAAGTTAGATCTAGGTATTACTTTTTACAGTGCAGTGTACAGTTCATCTATGCTGAAGGTTTGTGTTTCCATGGGTACATAAAGCCCATCTCAACCCCTCTCAGAGGAATATAAACAAAGCAGCGATAATTAATTTTCCAGAGATTGTTTTCGTTAATTACTAATTAAGCCTATTAGTCACAGAGGGGGTAAAAACAATCTGTTCATTTAAAAAGGCAGAGGTAAAGTTGCATTGCGTTTTGAGAGTTGCAAAGCATTTTGCGAATGTGCAGTCATAGTAACTGACCTGATCTCGAGGTCCCTAATGAGGTGGCGGTGAGAGAGAGGCGGCGGAGCTTGTGTCTGCCAAATGAAACCAGCACTTTGGGCTGTGCTCGCCTGCCATTGGTTGGAGTCTTCACCTGAGCATGTGTCCGCCTCCACAAAGAATACCGGCTCCTGATAGTCTGCACAATAGGGCTGTATCTTCTCTCTAAGGAGGGACTGCATATAGACAAACATGCATTAAATGCTGTAAGAATTCCTGTAAAAAGATTATGATTTTTATTATGTTACAAAAGTCAATAAAAAAATAAGAGTATGGTTAGTTTGTTCAATTGAAGTGCAAAAGAAAGTGCTGCCATCTAGAGGACATTAAGAACACTACTGCTACCAGCTGTGACATTTGCAACTAATAATAATTTTAGACTTTAAAGGGGTCATATAATACACAGGGTTTCCGCACTTTTTGATAAAATATGTTGCAAAATGTCTCTACTTTTAGAATTAGTAAAAAATCTAATCATTAGAGACTGTACTCACAAAGAGCAGCCTATGAAATATTTATAGATTTTTTTATAGATTTTTATATTATATATATATATAAGGTTTTTCAATTTTATAGTTAAAGTAAAGTTTAATAACAGTGTCAAATAATTGTTCATACTGTACATTGCAATGGTGTGATGTCTAAATGTATCTGTAGCATTTAAAACAATTGATTTTATTTTTTTAAGCGTTTTACTTTTAATTTATTTAGTCAAATAGTATAAAAAAAAATTCTATCAGTCATTTAGCAGATATTGGCCATAACATGAAAATAATTATCTGTATATATTATCGGGCCGCCAAAATTTTGATATCGGTGCATCTCTAAAATGATTCATAACATCCCACATGCCACAATCTTAAAGGCCGATTCACACTGCACCAACAGACGCTGACAAACGCAGACAATCACCAGATTATAGTATGGAATTTCTCAGGGTATGTTTACACATCAATGATGTAGGCTACTAAAAACGGAAAAGTTTTTCCTTTGCGTTTTTGCACATACAGACAACAATGTTGTCAAACCGAACCCTGTTCACTCAGATCCGCAAAAACGACTAAAAACGCTGTATTATGCATGCCAGGCCAGTAGTTGGCGCTGTCACTTTGTAATGAAACACAAAGTGACACCTATAGACCTTATGGTGTCACTTTGTGTACCTATAGACCTTATGTAGCCCCGCCCCTTTTCAGCTCTGCGCTCGTTGTCTTTTGTCTTCCGGTCTGTATTTTCACAGTGATCTTGCGTATTTATGAACGAACGGCTTGTTTAAAATCTTACCGGTCTACTGACATTTGTTAAGACATCTGCTTTAAACATTACAATCCTCATGATAACTTTTGTTAACTTTACAATAAGTAAATCCACTTCAACAGCTAATTACTCCTCGACAGCGATGCCATAGAGATATAGCCTACAGAGCGACCGCAAAAACGGAAGTTCAAAGACAATATTCCAAAGATGGCTGTGAGCTTGTTTCTCTGGCGCATAAGGTCTATAGAATGACCATGTAATATGCATGTGAATAAAATTCCCTTTTCCGTTTTCACAGAATCGCAATTTTGTAGTTTAAGGAAACGGTATACTTTTTTTTTTTTTTTTCAGGGCCCAGAACAGTCATGTTAATGAATGGTCAAACGCATAAAAAGTTTTGGGTTTTTAGTTAAAAATGCTGTAGTGTAAACGCCGCCTCAGATATTTCACGACACAACAAACAGCAAAAACAAGCACCGACCAATGGCAACAGACACCGACAAGTGTAAAACACTGATCCAAAAAAAACAGACTAAGTGTCTGTTGCCACAGGTTGGCGTCTGTCGGTGCAGTGTGAACTGGCCTTAAAGCAGAACTCACTTGCTAACAGATTTTCTGATGATCTTGGTTTGGCTCCTGAGCTTGAAGGCACCAGCTGACAGTGGAGTGGTAGTAGGGTTAATGCGGGCTGAGCTTGAGGACACAGCAGATCCCTTTTCCCCCTTTTGACCATTCTTATTAGCGGTCCATCGATACACTGTGCTCTTATGGGTAGTCCTAGAAGTTGAGCTAGATGCATTTGCCGTCGCATTTTGTCCAGCCGCCTTCCAACGATAGCGGCTAGTATGTCCAGCATGGGATGTAGTAGCACCCCCAGCTCTAGATTTTTTGGATGAAGTTGTCGAGGTTGTGCCGTATCTCTTTTCTTTTTTGTGTCCCTCCAGTACACCTTGAGAGGTTCTTACAGGGATTTTAAGAGATTTGGGCGAAAGAGGCTTGCGTAGCATTTTCGTTGAAGTGTTTGCTTTCCCAGCTGTTGACAGGGAACAAGATGAAGACACCCATGTGTACTTTGAGGTCTTAGGAACTCCAAGGGAAAGAGACAAAGGCTTGCGAGACACCCTCTTGTTGGAGCTGGAGACTCTTCTGACAGTGGCTGTCCCAGGAGAGGATTCACAGGCTGGGGAGAGAGAATTCACTGGCTTAGGTGTGCTTTTTATGTTTACCATCTCTTGGTTTTTCACCCAAGTAAACCGAGATCTCTTATGGCATGGCGATGCTATACGTGTCTGAGCTGAGTCTGGCTTAGGCTGGAACTTTGTGGGACTCAAGGTAGCCCGAGACTGAAGGAGCTTTGCGGGACTCAAGGTAGCCTGAGACTGAAGGAGCTCTGCGGGACTCAAGGAAGCCTGAAACTGAAGGAGCTTTGCGGGACTCAAGGTAGCCTGAGGCTGAGACTGAAGGAGCTCTGCGGGACTCAAGGAAGCCTGAGACTGAAGAAGCTTTGTGGGACTCAATGAAGCCTGAGACTGAAGGTTAGAAGTAGAAGAAGCCATAGACGAATCTTTATTGGCTGATGGCAATACGACAGTCCTATTGGATATGGCAGCAGTGGGGAGGAGTGGTTTGACTTGAAGTTGAGCTGGAAGTTTAACAGTTGAAGGGATAGAGGGATTTTTCACAACTGAGGATGATTTCAAAGTGGGTTTTATCTTCCTTTCAGGCTCTGATGATGAAGTAGAGTCAGTTAGTTCATTGGTAGATGAACAGCCATGATCGGTTTTTCCTGTTGCAGATATAAGCACAGTCCTTTTTCCACTGGCGTCACTTTTCCTCTCCTTTGAAATTTCACTTTGGACACTGAGGGAATATGTTGCAGATTTACTCTTTGTTTGTTCAGTTGTCAACTTTTTAAATAAAACACTGTTATTCCCAACAAGTCCAACACTATCCCCAGTAGCAGTGGCTCCAGATGTAGCGATGCAGTGAGGATGCTGGTTCAGGTGGTCCAGAGCTGGGTGAGACTCCAGACTCCCAACAGCCCTGTTTGTCTTGTTGTTAAGGGAGTATGTTTTCCTCCAGCTGTCAGAAGAACGAGCCACATACGGCTGTGGCATTGATGAACATGACTGTGTGTAATGTGAGGCATGACCCTGACACTGGCCCCTCCTTGAACCGTGCCTGCCATGATCCCACTGGGCAGAGCTTGAGGGAATGTCACCGTGAGTACTTTTATAGTCATTAATGAGGTCTGCAAAGTCAAGAAGTAGTGTGAAATTAGATAGTATTCAAAGTCATGAGATTAAACTCAAGCTCAACTGACAAGATTAAAAAGGAGTCAGATAAACTTCAGTCAATGCAAGATAGGCTATATATCTGGAATATATTTTTCTATTTTATCTTTCCATTTTCAATGGCCATTTTTGTAAACTATCCATGTATACTTCAAATGAATTCAACTATGTGACATAATATAGTAGATAACTACAAAATCAAATGCAGAGCATATCATTAAACCAAAATTTAAGAATATATGCATAAATCATAAAACATTAAACCCTCTGCTAGAATATATTGGATAGAATATAGAACATATGTAATCTGCCTTATATGTCGCAATACATTTTAATGTAACTGTGGTTTCAAAGTTTGTAGATTTTGGAGATCATCGTTTGAAACCCATCAAAACCATTTTATACTAGATTCAAAAGCCACCAAAAAAGCAATATGACAGCAGTCTGAAGAGAATGCTAACGTTATATATAATAGAATGTTATTAAACATACCAAATGTTAATTACAGATAAACAAACAGAGACATTCACCATATTTTTAAGAGGCATTTAACTTAACTTATCACTTTCGTTTCTGCCACTGCCCTGTATATTTCTGAACCTGTTCTAAAGCAAGCAGCAAATAACTACCAACAGCGAGGAAAATAAATATTAGCATATGGAAAATAAAAACATAAACATTTCAAAAGGTGTTAATCCAGACACAGTAACGTTAAAGTATTGTTTTAGCTTTAGTGAAAAACCGTTAACGTTAGGTCAGCCACACTGTTACTGAACCCTCCTTTACATACGGCTAATAACGAACGTAGGGTTTGGGGAAATGCTGAAACCACTGTTAAATTACGCTAGAAAAACGATATATAAATAAAATATCACACTTACTTTGCAGCTCCTCTATTTCTCTCTTTAGCGCTTCACGTTCAGCCATCTTCACACCAAAACACGGCTGTCATAAAACTGCGACGACGCCTGTGATTACGTTTAGAAGCAACATCCAATCACAACACGCCTTTCAACAGATGACTCTAGTTTGGGTTTTGAGCTCAAATAAACTGCGCCTGGTTATAAAAAACTTTACAGTCTACAGAGTAGTTTCATTTAGACTTAAACTTCCGACAATCACATCATTATTCTAGAAACCTTTTAGGTGCATTTCTTATTTGGAAGAAGATTTACAGCTTTTAACGAGATTCGTTTTTGGAAACAGAAATCGAAAGTACTAACTGACATCGGTAACGTTAGGTAAGTAAGTTAGCTAGCAGTTAATGCGCATAATAAGCTCGAATGTTTGTCCAATTTAACTGGGAATTATTAATTGAATGATGTCGCTTCAGAGTAGTTAATCTATTTAAAAACTTAGTTTCATTAGCCATACCAGGTATAGAGATATCAATGACCTATTAACAAACAAAACGTACTATCTCTAACTGTTTTGCAGGAAGTGTCTACACAGATCTTTCTGTCTACCACCGCAGTTGTTTTAAATTATTTACTTTTGTTAACTTGGAGGTATTTGAATGACGTACCTCTACGGGAAGAATAAGCTTTGCTCAAAGTTAGCAAATAACTGAAGACTCCAGTGCTAGGCCCTTGCCCATTCTGGAAACACTGGTGTCAACCTGAAAGCCTGTCATACTTCAGTTTTCCAAGTGACATAAGATATGGCTTCAGCCGACAAGAATATATACTTCATCTTAATTGCAAAACCGCCAATTGGGTACATGGAAGCTGGTGAAATATGCTTCATTGACAAGGATCTATATGTGGAATGGAAAAAGGGAAACAACACAGACCCTTTACCTGTAGTTCGTATGGGCAGAGCAATGCATACAGACATTGATGCACTTCTACTGAGACCATTGTCACTCAGATCAGCAGAATTACTGCTGGCTCTTGAGTCCAATATAGAGCGACTGGTTGCACTGAACGACTCTAAGGCTTTAGAGGAGGCTTCAAATCTGTCCTTAGACAGTCGGGTTTATGTGGAGTATAATGGGAAATGGCTCAAAGGTGTGATTCGATACATTGGAAATATCAAATCTTGTAGCTTTGAACCTATTACAGGAGTCTTCTTTGGGGTGGAACTGCAGGTGAGTAGTTTGTGTGTGTGAGTGAGTGAGAATGGTCCTGTAGTTGTGTTAAAGAGAGAATAAGGTTGAGCAATACAAAGGATAATCCACTACGGGTAATATGAAAGTATTATATATATATATATATATATATATCTTCTATATTATTTTCTATTCTTAGGGTGAAGATACAGGAAAAGGTCAAAATAATGGTTCCTACTTCTACAAGACCTACTTCACATGTCCCAAAGACTCAGGCATTTTTGCCCCTTTTACAAGAATCAAACCAATGGATCATAAACCTTCAGCACCACCATTACCTACTCAGTCTTCCCCATCCATGACATCTACTGAGCCTCTCAATGTTGGAGACAGAGTAACCTTTTTTGGTGACAAAAATGCGCACCATGGCATGGTTATGGCTATAAACGACAGCCCAGATGGTAAAATGGTTCTCATATCTACCGTGAGTACTGACCTCTCATTAGAGTGATCCAAATTAATAGTTTACCCAAAAATAAATGGTTTACTGTGGTTCTAAGCCTGTTTGACTTTTTGAAATTTTGAAGAATTTCACACATGAGAGTGATAAAATAACAACAGAAATTTTATATTTGAGTGAAATATTTCTGTAACACTCTCTTTGAACACTTTCCTTAGAGCTGAAGATAAAACTCAGACTTAGATATACTTTATTAATCCCATGAGGGACATTTTGATATGTAACAGCAGCATAAAAATATCACTAACAACAGGTCAACTAAATTTAAATTAAAAGAATATTACAGATATGCATCAAACACTGATTATTAAATATTAAATAAAGATGTTTGTATAAGAAAAACAATGTCATACAAAGATGAGTTTTAGTACAGTGTTATAATAAAAGGTCAGAATGATTTCCTAAAACTTTCCTCTTCACAGGATAAAGATGTTGAGGGGAAGCAAGGAGGAGAGATGACAGTCCCACTGGATTGTGTAATTAAAGAGGAGCTGTTAAATAAAGGTAACATATATGTGTCGCCACATGTACTTATAACACAAGTATTAGGGCATAGGCATTTACATGAACAGTCATTTTTATCCTTTCAATATAATGGAGTTAGTTTCTTAAAATACTTTTCCTTTTGTTTTTTTTGTGACCAGACGAAACTGAAAAAATGGACACTTCTCAAAGCCCAGACATGGGGGTTGTTCCTGATTCTGAAGAAATTTCTGTAGGCTCCCTAGTGCAGTTTATTGTGGGGAAAAAAATAGCTTATGGAATTGTACGCTGGATTGGATTTTTACCTGATTATCCTGAGAAGAGTGCTTTGCTGGAAGTGGTAGGGTATAATATTCTATACTTTATCAGTTGTCATCTTTGAGGAATTCCTGTAGTTCTGAAAGAAAAGAAAACTAGCCAGCCAATTGTTGAATTCTTTTAAAAATCTGTGTATTTGTTCTTAGGAGGACGGCAGTGGAGTGAGTGATGGATCATATAAAGGAAAACAATACTTTAAATGTCCTCCTCAAAGTGGTTTATTTGTGAAACTGTCAATTTGTCGGCCTGATGATCGTTTCTCTGCTGCAAAGGAGGAGTTTAATGGAAACTCTGGTAAGACCTGATTAACTGATGAGTCCTCCCCTATAGATATTTTGACATTACAACGTACCTGAAACATGTGTGTCAGGTGTTTAGCAGTAGAAAGTGACACATTTTCAAAGACTGCACTGGTAGATTATGGCCACAATATATGTCATCACATGCTGTAGTGCAACTTATGGAACTTTTCTTTTGTGCCTCATTCTTTTTTTTTTCTGTAACAGATAAAGCATCTGTATATGTGGAAGAGGAGAATGTACCACCTATTAGAACAGAAGATGTGTCAAAGCGATTGATTGGTCAGATGAAGGGCATTCAGGGTCACTGCAACTCCTGTTATATGGACTCTGCCCTGTTCAGGTTAGAACTTATAGACCCTAGGTTGAAGATGAAAAGAGTTATAAACTTTGCTGATTACATGAAAATGTAATGTTTTTACAGAAAACCTTTAAATGAATGTAGTACATATGAATAGACTTAAAGTATGTATACGATGTACAGACTTCACAAATATTCAGTGTGATGTGAATCGCCCCCCAAAAAAATTACAAAAGTAAAATCAACTAATTAACACACAATTTAAATATATATTTGTTTTCATTTGTCAACAGTTTTTAATAAAAATTTTTTTTTTTTTTATCCAGTGTGTTTTCCTGTTCATCAGTTCTGGATTCTCTGCTTTTTAAGTCTACGCAAGATCAAACCATTCAAAGCATCCTACTGAAAAGCATTGTCAATCCTCTCCGCAAGTGAGATTTCAGCTTTGTATTGAAATGTTTTATTATTTTATTTATTTTTTAGTAAAATTGAAATTTGAAAGAAGTTTCAGTCACAGGCACATATATACAAATGGGAGACCTCGCATAACCACATATTCTCTCATATTTACAGGCATGGTTTTGTATCAGAGTGCAGTGTGATGAATCTTCGGAAGCAATTACAAAATCGGGAACGCTGCCCCACTTACACCACAGATGAGAAGGGTACGCTTTCTTCTTGATGTCATAGCCGCATTCAGCTTTGTTAACTATGTCAGATTTCAAACAGAATATTGAAGGAAAATGTCCAACTTTACATTTCTCTGCAAGTCATCAAAACACAGATCCAAAATATTACACAGCTGTTTGCACAAATTATTTATATCTCATTATCTATAAAAGATCTCTTGGCTGTTTCATGGAATTGGACTAAGCATGGTATTTTTCTTGATGTGTGCAGATCCTGAAGAGTTCCTCTCTCTCATCATGCAAGAGATTCTCTCGCTAGATCCGCCACTTAAACTCTGGTGGGGCACTTTTTAATTGATTTTATCGTATTTTTCAGTAGGGAATAGGGATGGGAATGTTGAGGAATGTAGCTATTCTGCTTCCTTCATGATTTCATTAATTTTTCTTTGTACTTTTTGAGGTAGTGCCAAATAAATAATCCCAACTATTATATTTTTATATTATAAACACTACTAAACCAAAAAAAAATTGGTAATATTTTAGGGCCTATTAACACCTGTTCACTTGATGTGTTTTCTCTGATCAGATAGCTGTCCAATTGTGAAAAGACCAGGTGTAAATGACCTCCAAAATTCATTTTTGTGTCCAAATGGAAAATGAACAGTTTTAAGCTATCTGATCAGTAAAAACACATGAAGTGACCAAGGCTAAATATGCCCTTAAAGGGTGAGTTCACCCAAAAATTAAAATTATCCCATAATTTACTCACCCGAGATATCAAAAATCCCCTTGCAATTTAGCATCCTCAGTGTCTTGACATCATGCTGACCGAGTCTGGTGACGATCGGATGAATATGACTTTCTTCTTTTAACCAAACACCATTGGAGTTCATTCACTCCCATTATAAAGCTTGGAAGAGCCAGGATATTTTTTAATATAACTCCGATTGTGTTTGGCAGAAAGAAAAAAGTCATACACCTAGGATGGCTTGAGGGTGAGTAAATTATGGGATAATTTTCATTTTTGGGTGAACTAACCCTTTAAGTATCAATATATGGTTAAACTTTATTTTAAGGTGTCATTGTTACAGTGTAATTATACATTTAAGTACTTAGTGATATTAATTAATAACATGTACTTACTGTAGGGTTAGGGTAGGATTAGGATTTGGTTGAGGGTTAGTTGCATGTAATTATGCATAATTTACTGTTGTTATTATTACTATGGTAAGTACATGTAACATATCAAACAAGGACACTCTGTTACCCAATATACTATTACACCAAATCTCTGTTCCTAATGTGTAGCCTTTAACTACCCATTGAAAACAACAAATATTTCAGTATGCGCATAAACCGTTAGTGTCAGCAGTTTCTTGTTTCCTACTAATTTTTAGATTAGTAGATTACTTCTGCAAAATATGTCTTGGCACGAGAATGCCTTCTAGTTTATACAAGTTTATGTTTTAATATATTTGTTTGTATCACTTAATCTGCCTTCAGCAGCCCATCAGAAAGTGGACATAAAGAGCAAAGCTGTTACTACTACCAAATCTTTATGGATTACAACCACCATTTAGTCCTGCCGACGGTTCAACAGCTACTGGAACATTCGTTTTTCAGCAACAGTCTGAAACTAGCAGAGGTATCATTCGTCCCTTTGCATGTTTTATGTTTGAGATTCTGCTTTCAGTTCTTTATTTGTCCTATTTTGCTTGGACATTCAATGCATGACCTGCAGATGGTACTGTTTCTCTCTGCGTAAATATTTCTGGTGTGACCCAAATGGATAGACAACTTGTATGTGTTTTTCTTGATGTCTAATTGAAATGGATCCACAATCTAGGTGTATAAGTTATTGTATGTTCAAACTGTTACTTATTCCTCCAGGTGCCTGCCTGTCTGATTCTTACTATGCCTCGCTCAGGGAAGAGTTTCAAAATGTTTCCAAAAATCATTCCTTCTATAGAACTGGACATCACAGGTCTTCTCGCTGATGGTAACTTGTCTTAAACGTTTATACAAATGTGAATGTCTCGGGGCTGTCCTGTTAATGTATTTCCTGCTTTTTAAAAGACATTTGAGGTGTGTGTTTATGTACATTTGTCCTTTAGGTCCTCAGCCGTGTGTGTTGTGTGGTCAGCTAGCAAAGGAAGAGTGTGCTGAGTGCTTCAGAGACACATTGTTTAGTGATACAGGATTCAAATATTTCTGTTTGAAATGTTCTACTCAGGTAGGGTGTTAAACAAACATTCTGCATTTATCTGAATATTATTTACCATTTATGTTGCATAGATACAGTCCTTTCCTAGGGGCACCTTCATAGGCTTGATCATAATATGCAATAAAATCAGTTGATTATAAAAAATAATGTTAACTGATTATATTTTGTATTTTGATTGATTATTTAATGCAACTTGATTATTTAATGCAACTTGACCTGCAAATTTTCTACTTTTTATTGCATCATAATAATAAACTATCTTGGAATTGATTTATGTAGGTTCACTTGCACAAGCAGCGTCGATGCCACAAAACCAGAAGCCTGCATCTTCCTCAGGGCTTCTCTTACTCACAGAGTTCAGGGACTGATTCACGCACTCCTCCACGGGAGAAATTAGAGCTGTTTGCTGTGCTGTGCATAGAGACCAGCCACTACGTCTCTTTCGTCAAATACGGACCTCGGGATACTGACTGGATCTTCTTTGATAGTATGGCTGACCGCGTTGGTAAGTGAATGTGTGGAATGTGTGCTTGGATTGAGTTCAACACTTTTGGTGAGTTTCCACGTTAGATCACAAACTTATCTGTTTGTAGGTGAAAGCAATGGCTATAACATCCCAGAAGTGCGGGCATGTCCAGAGGTTGGCCAGTACCTACATATGTCTCTGGCTCAGCTGGCAAATCAAGTGCCTCGAGAGATGGAAGGTGTGGCGAAGCGACTCTTTTGTGACGGTTACATGTACCTTTATCAGAGCAAGAGCATGTCTCTGTATCGATGATTGAATCAACACGTACACATCAATTAATGAGAATCGTATTACTTATGACTAGGTCTTCTTAGTAATGGATTCTAATAATAATATGTTATATTCAAGGGAATTCATTTTTTGGAACTATTGCTTCTGCTCTGTATTTGAGCATTTATCAGTCAAATATTTCCGCTTTCTGTCAAATTAGTTTCCCATATGGCATTGCCTGGGTGGGCGGTACATACTCTTTAAACATGCTGGATGAGCATGATCCAGCTGATGTCTTTTAAGTAATTTGGACTTGAAAAAAAAAATGACTCCAATTCTCAAAGTGCCTTGTATGTATATAAGAAATAGTAATACAATCATTTTCTACTCTCTAAAATCTTACAAAAAAATGTGTATTTTATTTTCAAATGTGTATTTCTATAACTGTGAGCAGACCTACTGTAGCTTGCTGCCTAATTCTCGTAAATAGAAAAGGGGGTCAAGATATTTTTGTTTAAATTATGTACTGACAAGATAAAGAGTTTATTTCTATAAAACGTTGATGACTTACTGATCTTAATTTTCAAGTGTTAGGGGTTTTTGAAGTCCATTCTGTATAAAGATTCTGGATACTGAATAACATTGTGAGCCATACGGTTTGTAATCACAGTGTCATAAATTATCTGTTAAAATATTTTGATTTATTTTATTAGACATCCATTCATTATACATGCTTTTTCCTGTGTTTATCTACTGTATATGATTTCATTTCAATGAAAAAGATCAACCATTTAAATAAACATATCTTGATTGGAACTATATCCTATACATTTTCTTTCTCTCTCCCTCATTGTGAGCCTGTGTGAGAGCCATAGACCTCAGCTCATTACATTGCTCCCTTTACCAAACAAGGATAAACCTGGATGAGACTGCTTGATTGTGTCTTTCACTACATCATCATAAACCGTAAGTGAAGGAACAGTAAAAAACACAGCAGGGATTCTAATGAAATCTTTTCTTAAGACTGGATAAGTAAAAGTGATTTGTTATAAATCTGTGCTGCCATACAGCTAATACACTTGGATTTAGGTACTTTAGGTCCCTTAAGCATCAGGCTTCACTGTAAACATTTACAGGAAATAATAATATTAATTTTCTTCCCATACGGAGATAAATGACTTCCTGACATGATCTTTCCTGGAGCTTTAATCCATGTTAGATAGAAAGTGAGTTTAGACAGTATGTTTTCTGAAGAATTCCTGATGTGAGCATGACAGAAAATGTAGCCTAATCTAAATGTAAAAATAGGGGATATTAGTTGCATAATAAGAATGATCCAATATGACACATTAAAAAATCTCTTAATACTAAGGTATGTTCTAAAATGTGTCGTTACAGAGACAAAAATGGTTGTGAATGCCACTTTATGACTTTAATTGGTGTGCAGCTATCATATCTAAGAGATAAGAAATTAATTTCAGTTTAACAACTAATAACTGTGTCTGTCACTTTCAAACTATATCCTCTTCTGTCTTCTCAAAGCACTCACCATGCTCCTATATGCACTTCCTTTTTCTCTCTTGCTTTCTCTTTTGATGGAAACTCCTTCCCTTTTTCCCCTTTCATGTCCATGCTGTCATTGTGAAGCCCCTTGCATTGATTTAGATTAGAACAAAGCGAATTTGTGAATACACAGCCAACACATGCTGAATTCACAAAGCGTTGTCAGAGACATAGGAAAGAGCAGACATGTGATCAGCAAGCACTGCTTTACAGGCACAGGAAATGCGTTAATGCTTGACTCTAAATCAATAAAGCGCTGCCTGCGTGATGACCAGACTCATTATGCAGATAAAACTCAGCACTGTGGGTGGAGTCAATGTCAACTAATTTCACCTGACAAATCCGCTCGATTTCTTAAATAGAATTACCTGTTAAGAATAGTGCCAGGATATGAAAATTTTCTCAGTTGTGTCATCAGTTCATTGTATTACATGCACGTGTTGTGACATCCTTTCACTTAATTGAATCAGAAGTACTTTTATACATATTTTTGCTTTTAATGCACATTGGAGAGCACTGGTCCTTGATGTTAAAAATGTAGAAGTTAGAAAGGAGAATTGGGCATGTGATGGGATGGAAGAGCAAAAACAAATAATTGTAATTTAAAGTGAGGGAATGCTTTTCAGCAACATGCTTGTCGTGTCATAAAAGGTTATTGAATGATGCTTACTAAAAAAGAAGTCACCAGGGAAACCAAGGTTCCGCTGGGCCATTTGAAGATATTCCATTCACATATCACTGTCAGTTAGGTTCCTATAAGCTCAGCTGCTGGGACACTATACGCATTAGTTATGAGTAAAATCTGATATGGATGTTTCTGATTCTATCAACTCATGGACAACACGGTAGATTTTTCTAGGGCTGATTCTGTTTAGACAAGAGATCAATGGCCAGAGGGCTCTAGGGGACCCAGATGGAATTATGACTCTCAAAAAGCGAAAATGTAGTCGATTTAAAAGATCAATCCAACAAATGCATGAAAGCTTAATTTACTTTAAATAAACATAGTATAAAAAGCTGAGCAGGAACAGGAATACACTCAGGCAATCCAGGGGGCATTTACGCGACACCATTTTCAACTAAATGCAGTAAAAAAAGTTATGCATTTTGGCTGTTCATTTACACGACAGCAAGACACACAACTTTTAAAGTGCAAGTTTTTAAAAATGATACCGTTATCATCTTCGTATAAACTACAAAATGTGAATTTGTGAAAACGGTGACATCATGCGCATGCGTATTAGTGTTTCTTTACAAAGTGACATGCATGGCAGCATTTTTTATTTTTTTGTCTTTTTCACGGATCTGTGTGAACGGGGATTGTTTTGACAACGCTGTCTTCTGCACATGAAACATCCTGTAAACGTACCCTCAGTATCAGCTTCAGATGGTCCGGAAAGTCTCTTTTTGTAAAAGAATAGGCGGTTCTTGGCCAGAAATGGTTGCAGGGAGGACCAGATTTTGTGCCACTGTAGAAAAGGCCCCAAAGTTATGTTAGTGTTGATATTATTTAGTGTAGTTGACCATATTAGGCTTTATGTTTCACGTTTACTTCCGTTTATTCAGTGCTTGTAACGGTAGCCGAAGCGCGCGCTGGTTTGTATACTATCTGACGTCACACAGTTAATATGCAGTACGATAGAGAAAGTCAGTCGGTCGGTCGGATTGTAGATGTGAGCTGCACCTTTCTTCAGAGTGTGCGTAAATGAGAAGAGTAAGTACATCTGTGATATTGTATTATTTGTTAAACTAGTTATTTCTGTTATTTGATGTGGATAAGAGTTAGGAGTTTAAGGAGTCGCTATGCGACCGTGGTGCTAATTACATCCACGTTCGTTCATTTCACGCTCGAGCTTCGACTCGTCTGATTTAGTACGTCGAGTTAACGATATGTAATATCGTGTTTAGATGTGTTTATACTTTCATATTTGTTGTTAGGATTGATCAGTACTTTGTGGTTGAGTAAAATAAGAAGTAAGTGGTGGTAAATATTGTTATTTGGATCGCTATCGAGGTTTCTCTGTCAAGGCTTTGCTAGCTCGAATGGAATATAGCATTCAGTACGGGGTTTTTTTCATAATAAAACCATCCAGCTGACTACATCCAGAGTATGATGCTAGTGGTGCACGTCCCAAACGGCACATTCGCCCACCTGTGCGCTATGCAGATTATGAGGTCGATTATAGAGGCTACATCGGTCAGAGGTACAGAGAGGAATCAGAGAGTTCTCACCAGGAGGGAATGCCAGGATGACACCCCTCACCTCCCCTCATGACTCTCCTCTTCGACGCCAGAGGCGGGATGCTATTCTTCAGGAGATGGACCTGGGCTATAGGGCTGAGAACCAACAGCACAGCCAGAAGAATCAGCTAGCCCCCCGGCGGTTTCCAGAGAGAGAGTTTAGGGAACAGCTACGAGATTACTCTACTCCCCTACCTCCAGCGCTGCAGCCCATACATCCACAGCATGACAGCCGAGTTGAGTTAGATGACATTCGTCATGAAAGACACCTCCTGCAGCAGACACAGTGCCACATGGCATCAGACTTGGTCGAGCTTAGAGCGCTGCGAGCAGACATGAGACAGTTAGTAGATTCTGTTTGCAACATCCAGAGTCCAACCTCTCTTCATACCAGAAAGCCAGAGTCAACGGTGATGTCGCCACGGCCACCTGTTGAAAGTGAACCTAACGCTGAGGAAGAGGATGATTGGCCTGCACCACCACCATGGCCAGACCCAGTAATTGACGAACTTCTGCCTGGTGACCCACCTATGCTAAATTCGCTTATTAGGAGAATAGATGAGGTTCCAAGAACTAGGGAAGAAGCATTGCCAGCCCCAGCTCCTGACATGTTTGTGGGCCAGCCACAAGTTTATCACTCAGCACGTGGGGCCCTTCCTACTGCAAAGCCATGGGAGGACACTGTCCGTCAGCCATCGCCCTGGTTCAAGCCCGTTCAGTTTCTGCCACAGCCACACGGATTACCTCCAGCTGAGCCCAAGTGCCCTACAGCTTATAGTGGTCAACGGAGTGAGCTTGGCTGTAACCCAACGCCCCAACAGCGACATCCAAGCATGGCATGGACACAGCCACTGCCCTTTAGATCACCTCAGGGTCATAACTCCAACGTCCCAGAGCCAAGTTACCGTGGGCCACGCCCAACAATCCGCAACTTCGCCAGTCGGGACCCAAGTGAGTTTGCACGGCTCAAGATCTCATTGGAGAACCTCTTACCACATGACGCATCTGTGCTGTTTAAATACCAAGTGTTGGTCGATCACCTGCAACTAGAAGAAGCTAGGTTAATAGCAGATGCTTACCTTAACTCCCAAACACCCTTCTCAGACACAATGGTTGCCCTGAATGACAAGTTTGGCCAACCACATCAGATAGCGCTGAGGCGTATTGCTGCTGTGCTGGACTCACCAGACATAAGACGGGGAGACTTTGCTGCATTTGAGAAGTTTGCACTCCAGATCCAGTCACTCGTGGGAATGCTGAAAACACTAGGCCACGAGGG